GCAAGATTTAGCAAGATCTTGCAAGATCTTGCAAGATCTAGCAAGATCTTGCAAGATTTAGGGTACTCCCAACAATGCGCTGTATTGAGCAGAATCTGACGACGCTTCTCAATGACAATTGTCAATACAATATCTTTCGTATATATAGCGACGTAGTGGACCTTATTATAAGTGGTATTTATTATAAGTGGGTTATTATAAGTGGTATTTATTATAGGTGGGTTATTATAAGTGGTATTTATTATAGGTGGGTTATTATAAGCGGTATTTATTATAGGTGGGTTATTATAAGTGGTATTTATTATAAGTGGGTTAATATAAGTGGTATTTGTGAGAATTTGAACGAGCGCGTCAAATCACTAAGCTTGGCAGAGAAAACAGTCATGTGGTTCCTTGACAAACTTAGCTTAAATCATGGCGTGTTAGAAACATCGAAAATATTTCAAGTATAAATATAAATAAATAAATATTATATACAGAAAATTAACTTTTTATGATTAACACTGTAGTTCTGCTGTCTACAGTACAGTGTACAGCAGAACTACAGTACAGTGTACTGCAGAACTACAGTACAGTGCACAGCAGAACTACAGTACAGTGTACAGTGCACAGCAGAACTACAGTGCAGTGCACAGCAGAACTACAGTACAGTGCACAGCAGAACTACAGTACAGTGCACAGCAGAACTACAGTACACTGCACAGCAGAACTACAGTACAGTGTACAGCAGAACTATGAAGTTCAGAGGCTCCACAAGACTTGCCACCTCACGTCAATTATTTGGGATAAAAAACTTGAGAAGCGAGCATATAACCAATATCTTTTTTTTTTTATTTGATTCGGTATTAAAGTGCGGAAACATGTCTGACCGGACCGAAAAAATCGTACTGAACATGGGCGTTTCAAGCTAGTAAAGCGAAATGTTCAAATTTAAAACAAAGATTCAATCTCTCAACAGCCCAAAATCGACGGGTGTTTATAATCAATCTTCACTTTATTCATAATCTTTACACGAATGAAATACACGAATTGAAATACATTGCTCCCAACACTTTACAAGTAATCTTGACTGATGTTACGTCTATGCCATGGGCCTATTTCTTCAACGCCGGCACTTCTATTCAAGTTTCGGCACTTTCCTATTCCTATTTTTTTCCTATTCGGCACTTCAAAAGGAAGCTCAAGTGACACCATTTCTCAAAANTTATAAGTACTCATCTTTAACCTTTAGTTGACTCACAAACAGTTCTTGTACCGGTGCCAGGGTATGAGGACCACTTGTTAATCATAAGTACTCATCTTTAACCTTTAGTTGACTCACAAACAGTTCTTGTACCGGTGCCAGGGTATGAGGACCACTTGTTAATCATAAGTACTCATCTTTTAACCTTTAGTTGACTCACAAACAGTTCTTGTACCGGTGCCAGGGTATGAGAACCACTTGTCTGTATCCTGCCGACCAGGCGAGACGCGACTCGTCGGGGGCGAAGCAGACGTCCCAGCACTCGCCGCCTTGGCGATTGTCGTCCCCGCGTCGGCCCGTCCACAGCTCCCCGACCACCCGAAGTGCTGCACACAACAACAGAAATAAACAATTATTAAAATCACTTGGCTGCTTAAGTCGCAAATTTACCAGGAATTTAAATTTTAGGTTACTAATTGCTTGTACCTGTGTTCTAGGTTTTGAACTGACGATGGAGCTGGACTCCGAAACGTTTTCTCTTATAAGAAATGGTGAAATTTTTGGCTATTTTCTTTGCTTTTAAATTCCAAATAAACAATTGATTTGCATGTCTGATTAATCAGGAAACTCATCGCATGCAGACACTTTAAGACTTCTTAATTATGTTGACTCGACATTAATCAAGCAACGTATCAGTCATTAAGATTCTTCTACATTATGTTGTCTCGATATCGCACATTGAATTCATTAAATCGCATGAGATCGGCTGGATGCGTGAATTAAAAACCAAGTTCATTCCAAGCTCAATGAACGCAAATGGATTGCTAGACGTAAGAACTTACTCGAAAGTACGAGCGAAAAGTGCAAAACTGTTAGCAGTTAGAAGATTTATTAGGTAATTTCGTCTTACATAATTAGCGCTTTTACTCAGTCAAAAAATGAACATAGAATCAAACATAAAATTCTTATACAAATTTGTTCAGATACAATCAAAGGAACCTTTTCGAGGAACTGCAGAAGATAGAGAGACATTCGAATTGTGTGAAACATGAATCCTGCACCACAAAAAAATAGCTCACAAAAAGTTGAGGTTGATTTTATTCCTCAATGTCACAGTTCTCAATAAACTTAAAGTACTTAAAGGAAGACCTTGAAGGAAAACTTTCCGAATAGTACTTAACACGTTGACTCCGAAGTGGTACATATGCGTACCACAAAATGTATTTCTCCAGGACGTAGTGGTACATAATTCAGGTTGCCTGAAATCGGCCAAATCCGAGAACAAAAAAGACCGATAACTCAATATATACCTACTAGTTTATTTGTAGGTTCCGCAATAAAAATTCCATCTATTTTCTATTTGTAGTATTTGAAACTTAATTAGGAAGTACCCCTATCATAAATTTTAGCCGGCCAACGCAATTGAGAAAAACTAAATCACGGAATTTGTCCGGAAAAAATGACCGTCTGGCAACCCTGTTTAAAAACAGTACAAAAATGAAATAATAGTACAAGATGGAGCAATCGTAGTCAACGTGTTAAAGGAAGAATCACAGCTAAGCTAGAAGCGTTTTCAACTGCATGGACTAAAAGCTCAAGGCCCTGAATAAGTTCCGTGAAGAGCCAATCTTATCTTATCATGACCGCAATATCTTATCATGACTGCCATATCTTATCATGGCCGCCATATCTTATCATGACCGCCATATCTTATCATGACCTGTTAAGAGATCGTAAGTTCATCAGCCAATCATTGACGGCCTTTCAAGCCAAATCCACCAATCATAGACAAGAAAATAGAGCTTAAGTACTTACGTTCACTTAATCATAGACAAGAAAATAGAGCTTAAGTACTTACGTTCACTTAGCGCGTTTTGAAAGTATGGCCCCAGTGATCGTTGTGGGGGTTTCATTTGCAACAGATGTGTGGAGTTAAGCAATGCAGGTTGTTTAGTTATTCGCAGAAACGAGACAGAACACTGCTGTTGACAGGACTGTCAACAACCTGCACATAGCGCTATAAAACGCGCTATCATATAATGGTCATACTATCATATGATAGCCACACTATCACATAATGCCTCCCGATTTTATGATGGCCATCCTTTTAAATCACGACGGTTCTATCATTACTGGAGAAATGCAGAGTCGCATGGAAGGGTAGCTGACAATATCGCAGCTTCAACACTCAAGATAATCTCGGGATATCACGTCACTTAATACCTACTATGTATTCTAGAATCAAATAAGTGTAAATAATAATGCACTGATATACAAGTTTTGATTATCTTTAGGTGTTCTGGATCAAAATGAATCCAGCATAAAACTAGATTTTAAGTACGAGTGAACATATACATCTTTAATTCCTTGCAGTAAAACTACATCCATGCTTAAAAGCATGGGAAGAAACAGGCGATCAAGTTGCGGAGAATAAGCTTCGAAATCGTCCTTATTTTTAAACTTAGTGCCAATTGATTTTGGTCCTCATAATGAATAAATCATCGTCAATATTGAAGGATAATTTGCAGCGCAATATTGAGAATATTATTAGCTATATTACCTATATTAGCTATATTAGATCTATTAGCTATATTACCTATATTAGCTATATTAGATCTATTAGCTATATTACCTATATTAGCAATATTAGCTATATTAGCTATATTAGCTATATTAGCTATATTAGCTATATTAGCTATATTAGCTATATTAGCTATATTAGCTATATTAGCTATATTAGCTGTATTAGCTATATTAGCTATATTAGCTATATTAGCTATATTAGCTGTATTAGCTATATTAGCTATATTACCTATATTAGCTATATTAGATCTATTAGCTATATTACCTATATTAGCAATATTAGCTGCATTGGCTATATTAGCTATATTACCTATATTAGCTACATTAGCTATATTAGTCATGAGAGGGGAGAACGCAGGCCAGGTTGCGCAAGCTCGTTAAAATTAGCATCGGGGCATCTATTTGCATTGGCGCCAATAAATAACGAGTCTTTGGACAAATCCAGCCTCGGAGAAGGAGGCCTGCGAGCAAGCAATAGCCACACCGGTTGTTGCAAGAATACGGAGCCGCATCACATGCATCCTAATATTGCATTCTTAAACCTTGCACGTATAGAATTTCATTTACAGGCGCGTCTTGCTTGCTCGACTTGATGGTTAAACGACCTTCGGGAGGCGGCTGAGTTACACTGCTTCTTATGCGTCAGATAGAGAAATATTCTACGTCGCAATAAAGCGTTGCTATGCCAGCAAAACCAATAAGTTCCACACATTGAAACAATTGACCGAAATTTACGCTTTCCCTTTACCACGTTTTATTGGTGATAATTTAGTTGAATAAATTGTAATGAACCTAAAAGTCTTGTAGGTCTCAAACAATGGTTGGCTAGAATGTAGGTAGCTTTATTCAACTAAATTATCACCTGAAAAGAGAAGACATACAAAAATGAACACCAGCATGTTCCTAACACTATACACTGAAATTTATAGACAAATTTCACATCATAAACGTACCCATAACAACCTCGATCGTAACTAATTTCCTAGCATAAAAAAATTATTGACCGCCAATATTTGCGGACAGTCTCATGAAGTGTGAGTGTTCTGTGGCTGAGGGAAAAAAAAGTTTTCCTGACAGAAAGACTACGAGTTAGGATGGGATCACCACCACCAGAAACAATAAACAGAAAAAGAAACAAGAAACACCAACCGAAACAAAAAAAAAAGAGAGGCGAACAGGAAAGTCAATCAAGTCGCCGCTACGAGAAGCAGCTCGCACGATACGTCGGCTACCAGCGCGTGCGAATAAAATATAATGTCCCCCTACAAAGTGCAAACCGCCCCACGAGCATATCGATGCACACCTATAAGCCGCCCGACGTACCCATCGTAAGCCCCATCAGGACCCAGGGCATATACCTTCAAAAAAATGTTAAGAGATCGTAAGTTCATCAGCCAATCATTGACGGCCTTTCAAGCAAGCTATATTAGCTATATTAGCTATATTAGCTATATTAGCTATATTAGCTATATTAGCTATATTAGCTATATTAGCTATATTAGCTATATTAGCTATATTAGCTGTATTAGCTATATTAGCTATATTAGCTATATTAGCTATATTAGCTGTATTAGCTATATTAGCTATATTACCTATATTAGCTATATTAGATCTATTAGCTATATTACCTATATTAGCAATATTAGCTGCATTGGCTATATTAGCTATATTACCTATATTAGCTACATTAGCTATATTAGTCATGAGAGGGGAGAACGCAGGCCAGGTTGCGCAAGCTCGTTAAAATTAGCATCGGGGCATCTATTTGCATTGGCGCCAATAAATAACGAGTCTTTGGACAAATCCAGCCTCGGAGAAGGAGGCCTGCGAGCAAGCAATAGCCACACCGGTTGTTGCAAGAATACGGAGCCGCATCACATGCATCCTAATATTGCATTCTTAAACCTTGCACGTATAGAATTTCATTTACAGGCGCGTCTTGCTTGCTCGACTTGATGGTTAAACGACCTTCGGGAGGCGGCTGAGTTACACTGCTTCTTATGCGTCAGATAGAGAAATATTCTACGTCGCAATAAAGCGTTGCTATGCCAGCAAAACCAATAAGTTCCACACATTGAAACAATTGACCGAAATTTACGCTTTCCCTTTACCACGTTTTATTGGTGATAATTTAGTTGAATAAATTGTAATGAACCTAAAAGTCTTGTAGGTCTCAAACAATGGTTGGCTAGAATGTAGGTAGCTTTATTCAACTAAATTATCACCTGAAAAGAGAAGACATACAAAAATGAACACCAGCATGTTCCTAACACTATACACTGAAATTTATAGACAAATTTCACATCATAAACGTACCCATAACAACCTCGATCGTAACTAATTTCCTAGCATAAAAAAATTATTGACCGCCAATATTTGCGGACAGTCTCATGAAGTGTGAGTGTTCTGTGGCTGAGGGAAAAAAAAGTTTTCCTGACAGAAAGACTACGAGTTAGGATGGGATCACCACCACCAGAAACAATAAACAGAAAAAGAAACAAGAAACACCAACCGAAACAAAAAAAAAAGAGAGGCGAACAGGAAAGTCAATCAAGTCGCCGCTACGAGAAGCAGCTCGCACGATACGTCGGCTACCAGCGCGTGCGAATAAAATATAATGTCCCCCTACAAAGTGCAAACCGCCCCACGAGCATATCGATGCACACCTATAAGCCGCCCGACGTACCCATCGTAAGCCCCATCAGGACCCAGGGCATATACCTTCAAAAAAATGTTAAGAGATCGTAAGTTCATCAGCCAATCATTGACGGCCTTTCAAGCCACTCTTTTAAAAACAGTTAAGAGATCGTAAGTTCATCAGCCAATCATTGACGGCCTTTCAAGCAAAATCCACCAATCACAGACGAGAAAATAGAGCGTAAGTACTTACGTTCACTTAGCGAGTTTTGAAAGTATGGCTGCAGTCGTAAACTACGAGATCTACTGTGTGGAGAGTAACTTTGACTACGCGGGCTCTACACGACTACCGATGAGCTAATAAATGTATCTCTAGATCACAATGATGGATCATTCGAACCAAAACGAATTCAGGCAGAGTCCACTAACGTATTCCTCAGATCATATTAGGTACTATGTAACAGGACTGTTTTTCTCGCAGTCCTACCAGCGGTAGTCTTCGTGGTCTTTCTTAGCGATCATGATTGGAAGTTTGCTAGCGCAAGCAATAATAGCTTCAGTTTCGCACAATGAATACCTCCTTTTTAACGGTGCTGAATCGGCGGAAAGATCTCTAAATAATTTCTTTCGTTAAATGTTAATAGCTCAACATTATTTTATTCTGCTACCCAATGAACACCGTGAATATTTTGAACAGCACCTGGTTATTACTTTATATAATATTTAATGAAATTTCAACATCACATTGGTCGATAAATCAAAACGTATTCTGAATACTTGAATTTCTTCCCCGAAGCCACCCAGTTTGTTAGTGTGGAATGTAAGGTGAGATGGACTTCCATTTCTGTTGACTTATTGCTTTAGATAGAAAAGATAAGTACATCATCCCACCGCCTACAATCGAGTGTCGGGTACATTAATATAGCAAACTAAAAGAAATTCCTTCACCACTCAACTAAAACAAAACACGTGATGTAATATCGTACTCAGTCCCTTTACCAACACACTCGACTAGAACTTGTTCACTAGTCTAGATTCGACTAGAACTTGTGCACTAGTCTAGACTCGACTAGAACTTGTGCACTAGTCTAGACTCGACTAGAACTTGTGCACTAGTCTAGACGCGACTAGAACTTGTGCACTAGTCTAGACGAACTGCTGCTCGAGGGCATTGTACGCACTCTTCTTCACGCACAGCTTCTGACCACTGCATTCTGACGCTGGGCCTATAATTTCAATAAAAGTTAAGAGATCATAAGTTCATCAGCCAATCATTGACGGCCTTTCAAGCAAAATCCACCAATCATGGACAAGAAAATAGAGCGTAAGTACTTACGATCACTTAGGAAGTTTTGAAAGTATGACCCCTGGACTGCACACGCTCAGGGCACAGTTAAGGCAAGCAAGCATCAGGTATTGACAATAACAGTATTCGCTTATTGATCAACTACGCCTGTTAGTCTACGTCTGAGATGTCGGTGTCCGTCTCTGCGATGTTCGTGAATTACGCAAGAACTGCAACATAAAAGTACCTACATTGAAATGCCGAGTTCTGTATAAAAAATCGCCTGTATAGAAAGGTGTGGTCATGCGTCTCTTATAAAAGTCTTGGGTTTGACTACTTTAACAGACACAAGTCACTTCCAGTCAGCAAATTAGGTGGGTGTTTTTAATTAGGTACATGGGCTGGGAAAGCGTGTAGGACGGATACAAAAATTTGACAGAGCCAAGCTAAGGCCAAAAAAGAATAATTGTAACTTCACAATTAAATCTGACATGATGGACGATAATCAGCCTTGAACTGATTATTAGGGCAATTTTAGTAAAGTTTTTCAGCTTTAGTTCTCCTATAGAGGAAACTTTCCTATGTAGCAAACCCTTCATGGATCTGAAGCAGACACGTTTAATAATAATTCAAAGTTTCAAACCAATTTTCACAAATTTTAAATTGACTCCGTGTTGGTAAAACTAAAATTTTCACTCGTCTCATTTGACGAAGTTGGTGGCCTAACCCGCGTGCAATTTACTTACTTCTTCTCGTGGTGGGCAGGGCAATGCCTGCGCAAGCTAGAGTCTCCATAGCGCGATCGATTGTTTGCTGGCTGAAACACGCGCGTTCCAATACAGCCTAGCGCACGTGCTATCAATGAATTAAGCTCCTGGAGCGATCAGTTCACTTACAATCACACTAACAATTCCGATTACTCGCAGCACATCTTACAGTTAAACTGTAGTATACACGGGTATATGAGCCTGCATAGTAATCACTCTAGTCATTTAGGCCTAAATTATTTTGAATGTGAAATTCGAACGTCGGGACAATAACCCTTAGAAAAGATTAGTTCATGTGATAGCTGGAAAGCACGGGAGATCCGAGAGAGCCACCCACACCACACCTCACCGTGAGAAGCCTCCAACTCAAATGGTCCAGACGGTCGATCGACCCGACTGATTCGGACCGAGCTCGAGCGTCCGCTAGAAAAACACGCATGTCAGAAAATTTATACCGGATGTAGAAAAACGGTGAGATATTTTTGAATGAAATGCAAATAAATCAGAAGATATTAAACCAATTCGTACTGTCTGCTCAACTGATCTGATAAAATTAATATCTAAACTTTTATTGCTAAATATGGAGGAGCCCATGAATGTTCCATTTGTATTTCTTCAACGCCGACACTTCTAAGTGGATTGTAGAAGTTAGAGTATATCACATTTATCTGTAAACAATCACGTGACACTTTTTATGGCCTAATTTTTCTTGGTAATAGCATATATTTAGTCAATGAATAGAAAAGTTGCTATTAAACCTATTAAGATTCCTAGAAACATTTTTCATGTATTTCAGACCAGTTTCGTTCAGTCATAACTGCTTTCAGGTGGAACTCGATTCAGCTCGGCCTACTAGGAACACGATAAGCGAAAAGAAGCTTGATTCACTCATGGTTGAACTATATAAGGTTGACCCACGAGAAGTCTTTCAGTCCAGCTTTCTTGTTACGTCACTGAGATCGAGAAACGTAAACAAACCCGTCATTCCCATGACGGATTGGTTGACTGGTTTGAATGCATTTCGGTGATTGGTTAATGCCCGTGACGTCACTGAGATCTAGGATGCCACAGGCGAACGACAAACTACATCCGCAAAATGGGCTCCTGATGGATCAACCTTATGCTAGTTCAACCATGGATTCACTTACCTGAGGCCTCCGCATATCAGAAACAGGATGAAGTTTTTTAAATATTGAGGTAGTTTTTGCTGAAACTCATAAATAGCGAATTTATTAAAAAAAAAATTCTCGTAACGCAAATGCATGGTTTTTAGATTTTATTACAATGGATCGAATTTCTAATTGAACAAATGAAATACAAATCTTTCTACATTCAAACCTAATTTTTACGCTGAATAAAAACTTGGTTTTGAAGGATAATATTAAATTGTACATCGTTTTAAGTCCTAATTGACACCAAATAGCCATGTCTCCAGACTCAGCCGATGCCGCAACATCAGACGCGTGGCAGAGCAATGCAATTTAAACACATTATTTTGGCAATCAAACCACGTATGCCTCAGTTGAGCCTCAACCAATTCCGACTATATTAAAAACTTGTTTTTTAAATCGCACTTCGCCGCGGCAATTGTTGTCAGAATATTTCTTTCTGTTTCTTTTTCAACTACAACGAAAATGTCAGCCGATTAGGTAGTGAGTTTTAAAATTTAGTTATATAAATTTAGTTATTTATTATAAATAAAACCTGTCTCATACTAACTAATGCTAAACGTTTCGAATTTTTGTTTTTAGTAAAAAAACGAGCAAGGAAAAATGATATGAGGACCCTTTATTGGCGCTGTACGTTGTGACCAATATTATATGTTTTTGATTTAACTGAGATCGGTTTATATAATAATTAACCGAGATACAGAGATACGTATTTTTTGCTTGCTTAGATAGGTTCCTTATTGACCGAGTTACATACATTTTTCACTGATATATCCCCATAATTTAATGTGTTACAAGTATAAACATATAGGTTATCGCTGTGAGATTGGTCATCATTAATGAAGTTAAATATATATATTTTAAATTTCGCTATAGCGAGATCGGATAATAGTGGACCGAATGATGTATATCGTGTGTTTATTAAAATAGTTCGTTTTAATTTCACTGTTATACCCCGTCCGCTGTTCAGTACGCAGCTAGATCCGCAAAATGTCGTTTTGGGTATTTTCTAATCATGATTTAAATAATTACAGTATAAATTGATAAATCGAGATAGGCATAATTTGTTATTTTTATCGTCCGAGAGCTTAGTTTAGAATGTCATCACTCCTATAGTTTATTAATTAAAATGAATTACACTTTTAAGGTCGTTAGCAATTTAGCGGGTCCAGACTCCTAAAAGCTGAAATAAAGATGCGTGCAAACAGTTGTCGCCAGCCTAGTTACCAGGGGCCATACTTTCAAAACTCGCTAAGTGAACGTAAGTACTTACGCTCTATTTTCTTGTCTCTGATTGGTGGATTTTGCTTTAAAGGCCTTCAGTGATTGGCTGATGAACTTACGATCTCTTAACTTTTTTTTGAAACTATAGGCCCTGAGCAGTCATGACTTCCGTCCAACCTTCCCTCAACCACAACATCAGAAACTCAAACTTCGTCCCTGCCCACGCCCCACCATCACACCCCAGCCTTGCGGTATATAGCGGTTTCAGCGTTCGTTAGGCCGTAGGCCTGTCGCCGATTCTTAACATCGCAGAACATTCATAGCTTGTTGCGGTCTCGGAACACGCAACTCACTGCTTCAATTTTGCTTTTGCTTAACCGCCCGGCCTCCTTGCCGATTCTGACCAGAAACTGGCGCACAGAGCTGGGATCGAACCCGCGCCTCTCTGCGCCAATCTTGGTACTCTGAACTTTAACCACTGGGTCACCCTGCCCTGGGCCCTGGTATGATAGTGCCTGACATAGCATGTATATTCGTCTTATTCGTAACGCTCGAGCACATTTTTAGCTTAATATGTAGGATTTTCAGCATAATCTGTAGGATTATTAGATGGAAATTCCGAGACCTGTAAATACCGCGGTAAATTTGAAACATATGTTCAAATCTCAACACAACCGAGCATTAGTGAACACAGTGCAAACGTCAAAGTCAAAGTTGCCTAGTTATTTTGGATGTCAGATCTGAAGTATTGGTCAGTTTCTGTTTCTATATGTACCAAGATTATGCATGTTTAGCAACATAATTAATTTCAGCTACAATAATGAATTGTTTCTTAATGTTGTGTCTTTCATTTACACGCAATTTCATTATTTCATTTAGAAAGTGCGCTGCAGCGTCCGTTTTTTATCGCATTTTCTCATTTATGGAAAAAATGCACTATTGTGCTCGCCATGTCCGTCCGTCCGTCTGTCTGTCTGTCCGTCCGTGACCTCAAGTTTTCGTCGACGAGAAAATGCGCTCTCGGTCACTCACTGCAGTGAGTACTCAGTTACATTATTTTTAAATAAAATTATGCTAAAGCCAGCGGGAGTTAGAGGAATTTTTTTTCGACAGGCATCATCTCACTATACGTTGAACTTGAATGAACTTGATAGAAAAGCCTTAAGTTAGTTTTGCGCTTGAACTTACTGGTGCACAGTTTGAATAGATGTGGCGAGGAGACAAGGATGACTTATTATGTTCTTAATCTCGACGCATGATAAGCAACACGTAGACACTCTCACTCGCTGTTATCGGATGACGTACCACAAGCACATCAAGGAACACTTATAAAAACGATCTTTGAAATATTGGTATATATCGTAGGATAGCTATTGGTTCCTGTGAACTAAAGCGCTTGCATCGTCTAAAATCCCGGTCATGCTGTTGATACAGATCAACAAGTATCAAAGAGGACAGTAGCTGCTACAAAGAAGTATTCAGTGCTAAAAGCTATATTATGAATGAGGATTGCCTGCCTTTTGAATCTTTGTACCAGAGTTTCTTCTCCCTGTAAGAATTGTTTATTGGGAAATAATACGTACGACCATCAGATAATTTGAGAATAACGGCGTGTTTAATCATTATTTCACAACAAATCTATAACTTTACTGAAAAATCTGAATTTATTTAATAGAAACGCTCCCTCTTACATAATATCATCAAAGAGCTGGCGTAAAATGAAAGCCAGCGTTTCGGAAGTTAATTTATGGGGCCGTTAAGAATAGCGCCATAGAAGGCATGATGGTGTCACCTTGGATAGTCAAGGATAGTCATCCTTGTCACCTCGCCACATCTATTCAAACTATGCACCAGTAAATTCAAGCGCAAAACCAACCTAAGGCTTTTCTATCAAGTTAATTCAACTATTTAGTCACGCCTGCAAGTTTTATCAACACTTACAGGTTAAGTTTGGTGGGGTGTGCAGTTAGATGAAGCCCTCTCGTGTCGAGGAGTGAGCTCGCTGCCTCAATTTCACTGTTCTCAGCTCCAAGTTTGGTGACTCATCATTTAAATTTGATTCTCAAATATATTAGGACAAGGCAGTGAACTGATGTCTTCAGTTAATGTAGTTATCGGTTGTGGTTTCACTTCGCTTTTTTAATTTAAAATAACGAGAACAATGACTAAACCAAGGTATACTTATTACGATGTCGGATTGTTGTGGCAGGGCAGCTGTAGGTTTTGGATAGCAATATTTTTAAAATAAATTTAGTTCATCAGAATACACTAATATATTTTCATTATCTTATTCTTGACTATGTTTGAAATTAAGCTATAAAAACGGTATTACTGATTTTTTTGTCACGTTTCGCGTTGTTTCGCACGGTGAAAGCGAAAATTTCATATGATCATCACTTACAAATTCATCGCAAAATGTAGTCACTTCGAGAATTCGAGTTTTAAGAAAAATTAGGTTGCACTTTTAGAATTTTTTTTTATTTTCTAGAATAATGTTTGCATAACTGAAATAATACTGAGAATTCAGAAGGTCTTACATCGCAGTTTTACCGCGCAAAAAAAAACACTCACGAAGTTTTACTGTAAATTTTTTTCAAAACTGAACTTGTGAACTTGTTATTCCGAAAGAGTTAGGCAATAATACCTTCATAGCAATTTACCGCCCATGACACCATACGCTGAACGTCACAGAAGTTCACATGAAGGCCATCATCGATGTCTTGCTGGCGCCGGTGAGAGATGAGAGTAAAACAGTTGCATGTCTGCAATCGTCTCCCCAAGAATTCCATTAAGATTACTCAATTTTTACACTCTGTTAATCTGTTGCCCATTGTAATTTGCTATATTTGCAAATATAATCGATTTTCTCATAATAAAAATAAAGAGTACTTTCTGGTTTCTTATTGCAGACAAACAGTTGCATGTCTGCAATCGTCTCCCCAATTAAGAATTCCATTAAGATTACACAATTTTTACGTTCTGT